CTAGCACCAGAACCCCTGACCCTGGGGCCATTAAATATTAAACAATTTTGGAATAGATACTCTTGCTCATCATAACTATTGGCTTAGTTTATTTATTTAATACCCAGGAGTAGAGAAGAAGATTTTCAAAGAATTAATGCATTTTCACTATATGATCAATAGAGCCCCACCCTAACACCACAACCCCTGACCCTGGGGCCATGAAATTCACAATTTTGAAAGTGGCACTCTTGCTCATTATAACTATGTACTTAGTTAGTTTATTTAATACATAGAAGCAGAGAAGAAGATTTACAAAGAATAAATGCATTTTCACTATATAGTCAATAGAGCCCCACCCTAACACCAGAACCCCTGACCCTGGGGCCATGAATTTCACAATTTTGGTAGAGGACTCAATGCTCATTACATTCGTGCTAACAGTTTGCCTGCTTGATGTCCAGGAGTAAAGAGGATTTTTAAAGATTGCAATAATTTTGGTGGTTTTGGCCCCACCCCTCAGGCCCCAGGGGGGCAGGGACCATAAAATTCACAATTTTTGCTCCCCTTCACCCATAGATATTGTATACCAAATTTGGTTGAAATTGGTTCAGTGGTTTCAGAGCAGAAGATGAAAATGTTCAAATGTTAACACACGACGCACGACGGACGACGTACGAAGCACGACGACGGACGAAAACGGATAGCAATAGGTCACCTGAGTTACTCAGGTGACCTAAAAAGTAGGTCACCGTGACCTACTTTTGATATAACATGATATGAAGTCCTAAGATGCATCAACTTACAAGATTTGATGATCCTAGTCCTTATAGTAAGCAAAATATAAATGTTTTTATTAACTGTAAATTTAGGTCAAATTTGAAGTGACCTTGAGACCACACCCTTTGCCTCAGGGTCATGCCTTGAACAATTTTTAATCTTCAACATATCCTAATCCTTGTACGTAACTTTGGTGAAAATCTGCCTGGTGGTTCTGGAGAAGAAGATTTTTTAGCAACCAGTACTTTTGGTTTTGTTTTCCTGATTATCTCCCCTTGTTTAAGGGTCCCAACCCTTATTTTAGTATAATTGGTAGCCCTTGGGCCAAGGATACCCTGTGACAAATTTGACACTGATTGGCCAAGGGGTTCTTGAGTTATGGCCCATATTCTAACAAGAGGCCAATGGGCCACATCGCCCACCTGAGCAATGTGGCTAGAAAACAAGAGGCCCATGGGCCACATCGCTCACCTGAGAAGCTTTGACCATTCCGTTCTTTAACAGATTCCCCCCTTGTAATACATGTTGTGACCCCATCCTACCCAATTGATCATAATTCAAACAATTTGAAATCTATATTTACCATAGGATGCTTTGATTCAACATTGTATAACTTTGATTCCCCATTGTGGACCCGCCCTACCCACGGGGTTTATGATTTGAACAATTTAGAATCTACACTACCCCAGAATGCTTTCACATAAGTTTCAGCTTTTCTGGCCCAATGGTTCTTGAGTAGAAGATTTTCAAAGATTTTTCCCAAATATTTCTATGTAAAACTTTGATTCCCCATTGTGGCCCATCCAACCCCAGGGGTTATGATTTGAACAATTTAGAATCTACACTACCCCTGGATGCTTCCACATAGGTTTCAGCTTTTCTGGCCCAATGGTTCTTGAGTACAAGATTTTCAAAGATTTTTCCCATATATTTCTATGTAAAACTTTGATTCCCCATTGTGGCCCCATCCAACCCCCAGGGGTCATGATTTGAACAATTTAGAATCTACACTACCCCTGGATGCTTCCACATAGGTTTCAGCTTTTCTGGCCCAATGGTTCTTGAATACAAGATTTTCTAAGATTTTTCTTATATATTTCTATGTAAAACTTTGAGTCCCCATTGTGGCCCAGCAATATCCCCGGGGGCATGATTTTAACAATTTAGAATCTACACTGCCCCAGGATGTTTCCATATAAGTTTCAGTTTTTCTGGCCCAGTGGTTCTTGAGTATATGATTTTCAAAGATTTTCCCATATCTTTCTATGTAAAACTTTGATTCCCCATTGTGGCCCCGTCCTACCCCTGGGGGTCATGAATTTAACAATTTAGAATTCACGCTACCCTAAGATGCTTTCATATAAGTTTCAGCTTTTCTGGCCCAGTGGTTCTTGAGAAGAAGATTTTTTAATGACCCCACCCTACTTTTGTCTTTTCTTGATTATCTCCCCTTGTGAGGGTACTTGGCCCTTCATTTGAACAATTTAACTTCCCCTTCACCCAAGGATGCTTTGTACCAAGTTTGGTTAAAATTGGCCCAGTGGTTCTTGAGAAGAAGTCGAAAATGTGAAAAGTTTACAGACGGACAGACAGCTAGACGGACGACGGACAAAATGTGATCAGAAAAGCTCACTTGAGCCTTTGGCTCAGATGAGCTAAAAAGCATAAATCAGTTTATTATTGAAAAGTTGAAACCCAATAGTGGTCCCAAACAATCCTTAAAAGGGAGCGGGTATGATTTGAACAAACTTTAATCTACACTAACTAAGGATGCTTGCATATTTCTTTGACTACCAGTGGCTTTATTGCCCTTTACATTTGAACTTACATTGTGGCCCCGCCCTAACCCCAGGGGTCATGTCTTGAAGAAAATTGAATCTAAACTTACTGAGAATGCTTCCATATGAAAAGGACTAATCATGGCTTTGCTATTTTTGAAAAGAAGATTTTTAAAGATTCTTTGTACATGTTTCCATGTAAAACTTGAGTTCCATGTTGTGGCCCCGCCCTACCCCCAGGGGTCATGATTTGAACAAACTTGAATGTTCACTACCTGATGATGCTTCCATAAAAATATGATCATTCATGCCTTTGCTATTCCAGAGAAGATTTTTAAAGAATTTTCCTATATATTTCTATGTAAAACTTTGATTGGCCATTGTGGCCCCCCTACCCCCCCGTGGTCATGATTTGAACAAACCTGAATCTACACTACCTGAAGAGGCTTTCATATAAATATATTATATTTATATTCATGCCTTTGCTCATTCTTGAGAAGAAGATTTTAAAAGATTTTTCCTATATATTTCTATGTAAAACTTTGATTGGCAATTGTGGCCCCGTCCTACCCCTGGGGGTCATGATTCGAACAAACTTGAATCTACACTACCTGCATGAGGATGCTTCCCAATAAGTTTCAACTTTCCTGGCACAGTGGTTCTAGAGAAGAAGATTTTTTAAAGAATTTCCCTATATATTTCTATGTAAAACGTTGACCAACAATTGTGGCCCGCCCTTAACCTGGGGATCATGATTTAAACAAACTTGAATCTACACTACCTGAGCATGCTTCCATATAAATATGATGAATTATGGCTTTGTCATTCTTGTGAAGAAGATTTTTAAGGCTTAAAAAAAAAAAAAAGAAGTTTGTTTCCTGTAACATTCCCAAAAAATTAAGGGTCGGTAGGTCGGAAATTCTTTTTATTTTTTTTTTTTTTTGCTTATGAATGGTCAAACATCCCCGGACCGAAAATACCAGGTGTTATATTTACAGTGGACACCCAATATGGCATCCAAAATGGCTGCCAAGCTGCAGAAAGCGAACTTCAGAAGTTGTAGGGGGAAACTGTTGTTACAATAATGATTACTCTTTATATTTAAGGTAAATGTACACTAAGTTGACATATTTTATGTCTCAAATTAAGCTACAAGCTATTTTTTTTATATTTAATAAATGGAATCAGCTGATTGATCAAACAAAGTTTTGCCATTTGTCAGAAAAAAAAATCCACCCGGGGATAATTTGAATGGGTTGGTCGGGTTACAGGAAACAAACATATTTTTTTTTTAGGCCTAAAGAATTTTCCTATATATTTCTATGTAAAACATTGGTCAGCCATTTTTGGCCCCGCCCTACCCCCGGGGGTCATGATTTGAACGAACTTGAATCTACACTACCTGAGCATGCTTCTATATAAATATGATGAATTATGGCTTTGTCATTCTTGAGAAAAAGATTGTTAAAGAATTTTCCTATATATTTCTATGTTAAACCTTGGTCGGCCATTTTGGCCCCTCCCTACCCCTGGGGGTCATGATTTGAACAAATTTGAGTCTACACTACCTGAGCATGCTTCCATATAAATATGATGAATTATGGCTTTGTCATTCTTGAGAAGAAGATTGTTAAAGAATTTTCCTATATATTTCTATGTAAAACTTTGGTCTGCCATTTTGGCCCCGCCCTAACCCCCGGGGGTCATGATTTAAACAAACTTGAAACTAAACTACCTGAGCATGCTTCCATATAAATATGATGAATTATGGCTTTGTCATTCTTGTGAAGAAGATTTTTAAAGAATTGTCCTATATATTTCTAAGTAAAACTTTGGTCAGCCATTTTGGCTCCGCCCTACCCCAGGGGGTCATGATTTGAACAAACTTGTAACTATACTATCTGAGCATGCTTCCATATAAATATGATGAATCATGGTTTTGTCATTCTTGAGAAGAAGGTTTTTAAGGAATTTTCCTATATATTTCTATGTAAAACTTTGGTCGGCCATTTTGGCCCTGCCCTACCCCCGGGGGTCATGATTTGAACAAACTTGAATCTACACTACCTGAGGATGTTTCTCTATAAGTTTCAACTTTCCTGGCACAGTGGTTCTTGAGAAGAAGATTTTTAAAATATGCCACCAAATTTTCAGTTATTCCTAATTATCTCCCCTTGAATGAGGGCGTGGCCCTTCATTTGAACAACCTTGAATCCCCTTTACCCAAGGATGCTTTGTGGCAAGTTTGGTTGAAATTGGCCCAGCGGTTCTTGAGTAGAAGTCGAAAATGTGAAAAGTTTACAGACAGACAGACAGACGGACAGCTAGACAGACAGACGGACAAAATGTGATCAGAAAAGCTCACTTGAGCTTTCAGCTCAGGTTCAGATGAGCTAAAAACTTCTTTTAAATCATTAAATTTTATCCAAGTAACTAGTCCAGGTGAGCTGAAAACAGACTTACGTTTCCTAAATACGTCTTCATGGAATGATTGGTCTTCCATGGTTGGGTGCGTGAAAACATCTTCTCCAAGTCTTTCTAAAAACTCCTCATTTTTTTCTGGCAGCAACCAACAGCAAACTTCATCCTGTCCTCTCCGATAATTCCAGGATCTACAGTATTCGGTGATGTTTTCTTTTTTTGCCCAACTTAAGAAAATATCGGTAAAGTTAAACTCAAAACTCTTTGAAAATTTAAGGAAACTAATGTTTTTGAAGACCTCAGAGGAAAAACTGATCTCTGATTCATTGAGTTTCAGAATTGGTTTGTAATTTTCTAAATGTGTATGGACAAATGGCTTTTTGATTTCCTTTGAGTTAAGACATTTGGCAACAGAATTATATTTGGTCATCCAGTTTCCTTCTTTCATGTTTATTCTGTAGGAATCGGAAAGAAGAAGGCACATCAATAGTGTATCTCCATCTACAAAATAAACAATAAAATAATGATGAACAACTCCGGAAATACCCCTTGAATGTATTTACATCACCTGCTGTTAAAAATTTTAAACCAATTTGAGTAAAATTCCTTTTTATAGTTGCATTATACAGATTACAGATCTTCTTACATTGATTCAAATGTTTTTGAAAAAAAAAGGGGGGGGGGGGTCATGGACATCCATGCAACACATTTGAGGTTGCTTTTCCACTTGTTGATTGATTGAACATTCAAGTTATTAATTTCCACAACTACATCATGTAGATGGCATTAACTTTTTATGTGTATTAGTATATGAAACCCGAATCTTTGAGCTTCTGTACAAAAATTCCATTACCTGTACAATTGTGTAAGTTTATTAGTGAAGGTCCTTAATCATAACATTAAATGTAAAATACAGTCCATTAGAGGATTTGATTAGGTGATTTTTGGCCTTCATGCACAGATCTAGAGGGGTCAGGACTCCCCCCTGGAATCTGCAAGGTTATCAAATTTATATACTAAAGCAACAAAAAGTTACCTTGGACCCTCCCCCACCCATGGAAAACGCAGACCCCCCTCCCCTTAGTAAACGTGAATTTGTGTTAAAAGGGTTGATGTATTAGAAGTCATGTCCCCCCCCCCTCTCCTACGAGATAGGTTTTTAAGATAATTAGATTTGGCAAGTTTATGGGGTTTTTTTATTTTATTATTTTATTATTTTTTTTTTTTGCTTGTCAAGAAATTTCTAGGTTGGGTTTTTTTGGACTGGGGTGGACCCCCCCCCCCCCCGGAAAAAAATTTCTGGATCCGCACCTGGCCTTGAACTCGCTTAAGTGACCTTACGTAACGGTCAACACACATAATCATTGTGTCCTGTACATACTTTCAGTGTTTTCCTATCATGAAGTTTTGGTCTGGGCATATCTGCTAAATGGACAGCTAGATGGATAAATAGACAAGGTGATTCTATAATTTATATACCTCCCAATATTTGGTTAAAGACAAAGCTACCGGTAACAAGGCAGCCTAGAAATTTTGATCAGAAAATTATCTCTTTAGTATTTAGTTCAGATCATTAAAGGTAATTGTAGTTAATAAATATTTATGTGATAATCAAAGTAGAATGATAATTTCCATTGAAATTTTTAAAGAAGGTTCAAACTCATACCTTCTATCTCATGAATGCTGTCAAACAATTCCTTTATATTTCTAAGGTCATGTCTGCTGTGATCCTCAGAGCTGGTACACTCCACACACAAGGGAACACCACACGGGGTACAGAACTGGTCCAGGGGAATTCTGGGATGTTTTCTACATTTGATGTCCTCCAGAGGGACTCCTGTTAGAAATAAAAAAAATTATATTGTAAATACTCCGAATCTTTATTAATATTCACGAAGCAAAGGCAATTTGGTAAAATAAAGATAAACATTCACAATCAACACACTATTCATCAAAATGTACTTTAGCTAAGAACTGATGATCTTAACCAAAATCACAGGACCTCTACTCTAGAACTGCTTAGAGTTATAATATGCCCCTGTGTGGTATGCAGCCCTAAAGAATGATTTTGTAACATAACTCCACTGAAAATTCACTGAGTAAGACATACTCTTACAACCCCTGCCCCCAACAAAAAAAAAACCACAACACAGTGACATACATACATATATGTGGGTGGATGTAATTAAAAATAAAAACAATCCAACAATTTTCTCATAGATTAAAATAAGTCATACGAGACATCTAACTTTGCTATAATGTAAAATTATTGACATAACTTGAAATAAAATGTAGTACAGCCATATATTAACCCTCCCCCCCCCCCTTCTCTAAGCACCAACACTTCGTTCAAACTGTGTAAACCACAAAAATCAACCCTACATATATCTCTGTCAGTGACCTTCAGTGCTTGTAACAGGGTAAAAATGGAACATTTTCATTGCATTATCATCTAAGGGCTTCCAGTGTTTTAAATTCATTTAATTGGAATACATAGAGTTACATATGGACAGAATAAAAAATATTATTTCTACGAGAAAACCATGCAAGAGGTTATGGGAGCAAGGTTCTCTGATCAACTTCATGTTTTGTGTGTAAATTTCTTCTATAATAAAATATTTTGCCACAATTTTTTTTTCAGTGTGGTCTCACTTAAGGGGTAAAATCGACACTGTTACTAAAAATAGAATTCTTGCCTTACGCAGGGTGAAAACAGGAATTTTATAGGATTTTATATTTAAAAATTCAGCATTTTACTTGATTATGATATAAATTATCCATATATGGTTGAAAGTAACAAGATATACTTGTTTCGGAATTTTTTTCATAATCACAAACTGTGCCCTCGTTTAAGTGCAAAAAGGTCACAAATCTGGCATATTTCCAGATTTTTGAAAACTGGTAAAAATATTAACTTTTCAAAAACCCATAACTCAGAAAGTAACGCTTAGAATCAACTCAATCTCATACCAATTATTAGACAACATGTCTGTCTACATTATATAAAAAATCTGTCTTTGAACTCTCAAATATTTTGCTGTACTTTTTACTTAAAGTTGGACATTTTTTGTGAATTTTCAAATTTTTTCTCATCCCTGAACTTCAGCAAGGAGTTATTTGCTGATTTAAATATTTTCAAGAATTCAAATTTTGCGGTGAAAAATACCAGTATATTGAAAATTTTTGTTTTCAATCAATAATTATTTCCTAAGGGGTTAAATTGGGGGGGGGGGGGGGGTAGCAGAATTGTATTATTTTACATTTTTTTATTTGAGCAGGGTGATATTCACATACTGTTTAGTACCTGTTTGTCAATCAGTAGACCAAGTTTGTTCTTTCTTATCTTAAAAAAAAAAACTTGCTTGATAAATAATAAACAAAGTACACTGGTATCTACTAATAAGTAGATGACCCCTTTAATTTGGAGTTCACAAGGTCAAAGGTCAAGGGTTATAATTCTCCATATACCAGTATGTTGATTTTAATCATTCAAAATCATGAGGACCCATTGTTTGACAGACATGAAATTTAGTACATTGGTTTCTTGAGAAGTAGAGGACCCCTTTAGATTTTGAGGTCACAATGTTAAAGGTCAAGGGTCAAACTGAATAGAAAGGAATATCAGAGCTATTTTCTTGACAGATATATTGTAATGGCAACAACCTCAAAATGAATGAACACAAAGTTTTAAAAAATCAACAAATTAGGACATTAGTTATTTTATAATTTTTAATTTCATTGCATATTAAAATTTGAATATTACTCAATAACTAAGTACATTCAACAACAAATAAATTACAATGCTTGACTGCTTCCTGATATGTTATATTCACTTCCAAAATTAAAATGACCTTGAAATTTTGTATGCTTGAAAAAAAATCTACTTGCTTAAGTATACATCATGGTTCTAAATTAAGGTAAGATTTAAAAGAAAAAAATCACAGTTTCCCCAAATCATATTCTGAATTATTTGCTATAACTGTATACAGGAAATTAGTCTTTATAACAGTTTTATATTTGGTAAAACTAAAGCACTGCTGACCTTGAACTTTGATCTTCTCTAAGATAGCAAACACTTAAAATTTACTCTGAATTTCTGTGTATTCTTGCAAGTGAACCCTGATACATATTAAATATTATTTGGGTTGATCTTGAGGTCTCAATCTTTCAAATTCTATAAGGTGTGTCCAAACTATTTTGTTCAGTATGATCCCATTTTCTTCCAATGTATCATCCAATAACTTCTGGAGAAAATTTAACAAGCACTGAAATTTCCACTTCTGGTTTAAAGAACAACTGGACTGTCTCCAAATACGCAAGAGTAGTACTCAAATCAGGTACCTGTGAAAAAACACAGTTTTCAAATTAAATTGAAATAAAACATACAAGACATATTCTAAGATTTTTAAAATAAATATCATGTTTATGATAATGATACATTTAAATTAATCAATTGAAGAAAATGTCATCAAATGATTTAGGTAAGATTCTTCACAAATTCTTCTGGCTTTCTTTGAAGAAAACAAGAGCTTCATATATCCTTGAAGTAAAGTAATAGAGTAGGGAAAAATGCATGTGGCAAATCGACAGAGAGGGCAATTCCTTTCCATGTACTATAGTATACAGTTATGAAATGGGATGAGGGAAATAGCAAATTTATGATTCCCCGAGGGAGGAAACTATTTCCCGGAGGAAATAATTTTCTGCCAAGGGGAACAATAAATTTGTTATTTCCCGAGCTCCCATTCCATAACTTTTTTATTATACCAAAACAATGATAGGCGATTGAAATTTTTTAACCAGATATTCCAACATTTTAAAAAAAAAACTGTAGAGGCATAATTACAAATGCATGCGGTTTAACACAATGTATGATAAGTGAAGCATCGTGTCCTTAAACAATTAATTTATTTTTAAAAAAGTATTTTCACTGACATTTCGAAAAATTATCGTTTTCTTCATTTTGGTAGAATTCAAGTATGATTTTCACATCGCACGTCGAAATGTTTTGACGTCATAGCTACATTGCTAATAACATGACGTCACAGACTCGAGATTCTTTGAACGCTTCACCCACTGAACACTTTGATTGGTTAAAATTACTAATAAATATTCATGAGGGAGTAGTCCAAGGGAGCAACTCTGATTTTCCAGGGAGTAGTCTTCAGATGAGGGCAATAGTCACTTATCGGGGAAATAGAGTTTTATGGTATTAATTTATACAGAGTAATGACAGTAGAGGTATAATAATATAACACATCTTTACCATTTCCTCAGCAGTGATAAGTAGTTGGTAATTCTAATGCTGCATCTGCATTGTCTTTTCTCTTCTTATTTCTGGATTCTGTACACAAAACTACATTGGAAACCCTATGTAGTAATTCTTTATAGCTCCACAGCTGAAAATCCCATTGTAAAGCCCAGCCCTAACCAGGGAAATGAATTTGAATAATCTGAAATTGCACGAGAAATGTAAGAATGAAAGGAAATATTCTTTATGTTTATAATATTTAATTAGTTATGTTTTCAACAGAAACTTGTCAAGGAACACATGGTTACCTTTATTTTAAAAGTATGAGATTATGAGATTCTTTATAATCAAGCAGCCACATATAAGGCAATAATGGTGATTTAATTGACAGTGAAGACCCACCTATCCAATTCTTAATGTACCCTATTATAAACAGTCTTTGAAAACCCTGGACCTATTCAACTTTTCATTCTCTCTTCATCACCCCACGAAGGCTACTTATGCTATTTATAATTATTTTGCAATATTGTTGAATTTATACAGATATTTTTATTGCTACATGTACAAGTAACAACCTCTCTCATGTTGAAATTTCTCTTGACAGGTTTGCTAGGTATATATTCATATACAATCACTAGATTTAGCTACGTAGGTATATTTTTATAGAAAAAATTAATTTGGCAGCTAAATAAAGCTATTAGGTAGGTAAAAAACTAACTAAGTAGGTATAAATCAGAGAGCAGCCCCCAAGATGCCAAAGTTTTTTTGTAATGTATTTTTATGATAATATAAACCAAGATCCACCTACCTGTTTCTTTTTCAAATTCAAACATTGTTGATTCGGTATCATCATATAACTACATCCGTCTTGCTACCAAATGCTGCCAGAATCATATTCATCAAAATCAGAGCCATAATCCGAAGATCGTTGACAATTAACGCACTTGAATCTTTTTCTGGGGACGTACAAAACGGTAAATATTAACGTCTCAGGATGCCAAAATGTTTACACGTGGTACTTCATTTCATGGTTTTCATAATGTTTTATGCATTTTAAACATAGCCACTAGTATATACGTAACAAATTACATTCACAATTTGACAATTTTCTTCAAATACACATATTGATGCCTAAAACGATTAGATGACAGAAATCTGTTTATATTCGTAAACATAATCATTATCTACCTTCTCTACATGAAGAGCGCAACACACACACAAAATCTAAATAAATAGTAAAATACGTTTTTTTTTCACAGGAAAAACAGGGAAAAAATTATTTATAGCTTTTATAAAAATAAAAATAATTTTCATTGTTTATATTTGTAAATACACACAAAATTCATTAAAATTACTGTTAAAAGTAAAACTTATAAAATCATGAATTTTTCCCTCATTTGAATTTGGGGTACACACATATAACTTTTCTGTCCTTGAGAGTCCAAAGGTGGATTTTACATATTGTTTGGATAATATCCTAAAGATTCTTAAATGCACAAAATTTGTGAAGCGTTACTTTCTAAGAAATGTATCCACACACACAAAAAATGAACCATTATCATTTCTACCATGCCAATATTTGTGCCCTCGTGACAGCCTTCTATATAGGGGTTTTACAAAAAAAATGATTCCACACACACTTATAAAAAACATAGCCCTTTTATTTATATATTGTTTTTTTCTACTTTTAACTATTGAAATTGTCATTTTTTCACCAATTTTTTGCATTTTCCCTTGAATATTGACCACACACATTGGCTGTTACTAAAAATAGAAACAACCGATGCAAAAATAAACAACATATTTTTGATGTAGATGTCCTTTGTTCAGAATAAAACACACATTGAGAGTGCCTATCAGAGCGTTTGTTATCTACAGGTTTTCTCGTAGACAGGCTCTTATAATGATAAATATATAAACTATATTTCCCTCTTCACCATATCACACACACTTGATACAGGCAGTTATAATAGAATTATATCTTTATTGCATGGACCAGCTTATTTGAAACAAAGCAAGAGACTAAGTTATGTTTTTATCACACACACTTATAATGAAAAGGGGGGTAACTTGATTTTCTTCTTCAACTTCAAATACAAAATTGAATTGTCTCCCTTTCACTAGCAAGACACAGCTCAGTTACATTCAGGCTTATTCTTTGCATTTTTTAAAATTTTGTTCATAAAGTTGAAATGAATCTTAAACTTCACTAAGGACTTTAAGTTTGAATACTGTTCAATTATTTCCATATTTCATCTAGAACTTTCTCATACAAAAAATGTAACTCCACACACACAGATTTACTGAACACCTGCTACAGAAATACACAACATTCCTAGACAGAGCTGTGTTAATGTCAATGTCACCCCAGTACACAGTGTAGATTTACTGAGCACACACAAATACACAACATTCCTAGACAAAGCTGTGTTAATGTCAATGGTGTCTATATCTAACTGTCAACATCAGTACAAATATGTCGTGTTCTAAATGTAGACTTACTTATACTGAATACATTATAAAGAACATTGTAAAAAAAAAGATTTTAAAATTTAATCCGCTATTTCTCAAAAGTGATCATGCGATACACACACATTTTTCGAACAAAACAGCACATAATTTCAAAACTTGATAATTACCCCCAATATTCAAAGTCTCAATATTCAAAATCAAAGTCTGTCTGTCACACACACATAATTATACCAGATGTATGAATGTACTAAAAATGGTTCTGAGAAAATAAATTACAGAAAAGTTTGAAATATTAACACACAGTGTATATAGAGTTCAATGTACATGTATGATTCAGTGATTGAAGAGTTACACACAACATCTAACAATTAATTACAGACTAGATGTACACACACACTTTTTAATCTATTTATCATCTTTATAGTCATAAATTTCATCTTTAACAGTTTATATTTGTTGTTTACACAATGAGCAACACACAAACTATAGCATTTGTAAATAAACACTACATGTAAAGTTAGTCTTAAATGACCTCTCTATTATAGTGTAATTATTTAGTATTGGTATTATAATTATACACACAATTAAACAGACTACAATATTACTTACCAGTCAGAGAGTCTGTATGTACCACTCTGTATAGGTTGACTGTGTTGTTGTCTTCTGACCCTACCCACAGTAGGTGTGTGTCCTCATCATAACTCAGGCTCAGTGGATAGTCTATCCCGTGTTGTTGTGTGTGTATCTCTGTCAGATAGTGACCCCCACTATCTAACATCTGTACTGAGTCTGTGCTCCAATCACACAGCAGGATGTGTGACAGCGCGTCAGTACAGATTCCACATGGCCATAGTCTTGATTCTGATGGAGTACGTGTGTAGGAGAATCGGTAATTACCGTCACGATCTGTCACCACTACAGCATGACCGAGATAGTCAGACACAATAACATCTCCATTACGGTTCTCTGTGATGTATCCAGGATATCACACACACCCGTTTTGTTGTTGTGCTGTATGGTCTGGATGTTTTTTCCTGTGGAGTTATACCGTACTACCTTGGCTGTAAATGTATCATTTCTATACATACACATCCCGACCAGCAGGTCTCCAGTGGAGGGGGAGCTGTAGACACACCGTGGCCACCATGGTGATGTGTTGTACTTTATTATCGTAGTCTTTTCTTTGTTATCTGTAGACAGTTTATTGATGTTATATTCACTGTCTATGTAGATTAGATCACACTCACGGTTCACAGTGTGTCCTCCCACATCACTACCTATATCTGTCACGTGATCTAGTTCTTCTCCTTTTGTGTTTGTCAGTATAAGATTGCCTTCACACACTGATAAAGACCCGGTCTGATGTAACACGTGAAATGTGACGACACCCTCTAACACCAGACACTCTGACAGATTTCTGTAGCACTGCTCTATACATCACTGACAGTTGACATCTGTTTCTTCTTTATCCTGTGGTTTTATGTTGATTTCCTTCAGTCAGGGAGATCTCTCTGTAAATTACAACATTGTACTACAATTATAGACATCAGTTACATGTCTCTCTGTAAACATTAAATGTTTTAGATCAATATTTTATCTTAATATACTTCTTATAATTAAATTTAGAACAATAACTTGTCTCTGTTCACAATTAATCAAATTAATACAAATATAGAAACCTTTACATTGGGTTCTGAACACACATTGTTTCTGTGAATTGCAGGGTCCAAGTATTCACAATGGAAGTTTATCTAAAATGAAAATATGTGACAGATTAAAACATACCATGTATTCATTATAACTGTACTGAAGATTTTTAAAATTATTATAGATCATGTAGATTGTAATATGAAAACATGTCCACCATTTCATGTTTATACAATTATGTATAAAATAAAATATCTTAATCACAATAAAATTTGATTTCCTTCATATATTAATCCATACAATGTATGTGACAATGTTGTGCAGTATTAAACGTAGATTTTTGTGATGATGTACCACACACACTTTAAAGATAGGTATGATCTACAGTGAGCATGTGTGTGGGTCCACCCCCTTAGAATTTGCAGAGTACTAAACCAACTAAAAGTGACCTTGGAAAGTCGTAGATATGGGAGAGGAGTAATTTTTTTTTTTTTTTGCTTGTGAAGAAATTTCTTAGGTTTTTTTTGGACTAGGGTGGACCCCCCCCCCGGGAAAATTTTTTTTACACATGGGGCACAACAAACAAAAGACTAGAAATGATACCAATAAGTCAACTTAATGATTCATTTGACCTAAAAATCAAATGAGGGTTTTTTTTTCTTAAATGATTGTTTGATTTCAGCCCTTTTCAAATAATCATCTAAAATATTCATCTTATAGAATGGAGGGTATAGATGATTTTTTTTTTCTAACCTGTAAGAAGTCAATTTCTTCATCTTCTTCTTAACAACTCCATAACACCTTATCAAAATCTGTCAAAAGAAATTCAGAACATTAGCTTACTTGTATTTATTTATACATGTATGTTCTTTTTAACCATTTTTTTGGTGATAAAGTAGATGTGGGAGTTATTTTTTACTGCCTGAATTTTCTATAAAATAATGATATGATTATCCATAAAATTATCAAAACTTTGAGTTCAAATGAAAAAAAAAAAACAAGAGACCCGAGTGCCACATCACTCAGCTGATTACTTTGGTAATGCATTTCTTTACCAGAATTCCCCTCTTCTTATATATCTATTGTGTCCCCCTACCCCCTCCCACCACCACCATCCCCATCTTGTTTTTAATAATTTAGAATCTAGACTACCCAAGGATGCTTCCACATAAGTTTCAATTTTTCTGGCAAAGTGGTTCTTGAGAAGAAGATTTTTTAATGACCCCACCCTATTTTTGTCTTGTCTTGATTATTTCCCCTTGGGAGGGGACTTGGCCCTTAATTTTAACAATTTAAAATCCCCATCGCATAAGGATGCTTTGTACCAAGCTTGGTTAAAATTGGCCCATTGGTTCTTGAGAAGAAGTTGAAAATGTGAAAAGTTTACAGACGGACGGTCAGACTACAGATAGAATGTGATCAGAAAAGCTCACTTGAGCCTTTGGCTCAGCTGAGCTAATAATGGAAAAAAGATTCTGTGTTCATAGAATATACTTTCCATGTATGATCTATATGTTCGCATAATCTATTGCTTATCTACGTGTGAATATCTTAGGCATTACCTTGAATGTATTTTTAATTTTAAACATCTTTATGGTTTGAACAAATTTATAACTACCCTACCAGAGGATATTTACATAAACATAACTCATTTGGGATTTGCAATTCTTGAGAAGACTTTTTTCCCTATATACTCCTATGCAAAACTTTGTTTGTCCATTCTGGCCCCATCCTTCCCTTAGGGCTCATGATTTGAACGAATCTACGCTACCTAAGGATGATTCCACATATGTTTTATCTTTCCTGGCCCAGTAGTTCCTCAGAAGAAAAATATTAAGAGATGCCATTAATTTTTCACTAATTTGTAATTTTGTAGTTATCTCCCCTTGAGAGATGGTGTGACCCTTCAATTGAACTTAACTCCCCTTCACCCAGGGATACTTTGTGCCATGTTTGATCATTTTGATTGTAGTCTGTCCAGTGGTTTCGGAAAAGAAGATGAAATTGAGAACCAGAAGTCTCTGTTGAGACTGAAGCTATATGGTTTGAACTTATAGCAAAGGAAGAGAAAAGTACTTAAGCAGCTGGGATTTGAAACTAAATAGAACTAGAAAACTGACCAGTCAGCAAGGGCCCCGCCATGGGGTAGAATTAATAGGGTGCAGCTTACAGAATGATTAAAAAATGTACGAAGAATAAGCAACAGCAACTGTTTTCTTAAAATTTCAAGATAATTCCTGAATATTCAAAAACCTGAAAATAATATCCTTGTAATTACATTAGGCAGTAAAGAACAACTTAATGTATATTTAAACAATTATGAAGAATTTGTGTTATATAAAATGCCAGCCTTGAATGAATGCAAATATCATGAAGGCTTGACCTTATTCAAACAAACAGCAGTTGCAGACAAAGGTTTTCATTAATCTTAAAGTGACAGAATAAAGAAAAGCCTACTAAATTTTCTGCAGCAGGCTAGATAATTAATCCCAAGGGATAATTGTACCTCTCTCATCATTTTCTTCTAAAGTACAATAAGAACTTTTTCAGTATTAATGATAGAATGGGGTTTTTATACAACTATTCTAAAAATTAATAACAGGGCTCTCGATTCTCTATAATTGGGGCCGTTTATGGGCCCCATTCCCAATTCAAAAAAGGTACCTTTTTCCCAATTGAATGTGTTAATTTTCCCAAAAATCATTCTCCCCAAAATTAAAAAAATATATAGCTTGATGTGTAATACCGGGTAATTAAATTTGTTTTTCACATTCTTATGTATTGCAAAACAATGATTTAATTAATAACAAAGATCAGAAACCCAGTATATCATGTTTCTAAAGAATAATGGTTATCTTCAAATTTCCAAAAATGTCGCTATTTTTCCCAATTTTTACGGACCCGGACCCATTCCCAAAAGTGTCGTTAGAGCCCTGAATAATATGCTTGAATTAACATAAAGTGAAAAAAGTAAATCAAAAAATGGTTCAAAAAATCTTCTTTAATCTATTTCTTGTTATTAGAATTTAATGAAATCATAACTATTTAACAAATATAAATTATCAATAAAAATTATAAAATTTAAATCCACATTTCAGAGTGTTCATAGCATTCCAAATTGACTTAACTTCAAAACAAACTTCATTTGCAGACAGAGGTGGTAATTCATCTCAATTTGACAGATAAAGATAATGCTCTGGATTTTCTTCAGGAGGAAAGCTAATTTCCCAAGGGACTCATAGCAGCATTCAGTTTTACAATAGGAACATGTTCAGCAGTTATCTCTCTTTGCCAAAGCTTTTGTATATAAAGTTAAGGAATCTACCCCACCACCCCAGCTCCAAACCAGGGGACATAGAGAACCAAACTTAGCATCAAAATATGTATTTCTGCCTACTGAACTATCATACCAAATTTGTACTTGATAGGGCAGACATAAAAAAAAGTTGCCCATTCATTCTTATGCATAGTTAAGGAATCTACCCAACCACCCCAGCTCCAAACCAGAAGACATAGAGAACCAAACTTAGCATCAAAATATGTATTTCTGCCTACTGAACTACCATACCAAATTTGAACTTGATTGGGCAACAATAAAAAAAGTTATTAGAAAAAAACAGAAAATTTGTGGACGGAAGAGTGACAGACGGACAGACAGACAGACAGACATACGGACAGAGTGATTACTATAGGGCACCCGCAAATCCTTGCGGGGCCCTAATAATGATCGTTGATAAAGTCTCTTTATGTTCTTAGTGTAGTCTACTTGTGTGCCAAGTTATACTGAAATCAGACCAAAACTGTAGGAGGAGTAGCATTTTGAAACAATTTTACAGACATTTCTATTTTTTTAGTAACCACGGCAACACCATTCATCAAAATTAAAATTCGATACACAGAATTATGTATCTTAGTGTATTCTACTTATGTGCCAAGTTATATTGAAATCAGACCAAAACTGTAGGAGGAGTAGCATTTTGAAAGAATTTCACAGAAATTTCTATTTTTAGTAACCACGGCAACACCGTTCATCAAAATCAAAAACCGATACACAGAATTATGTATCTTAGTGTATTCTACTTGTGTGCCAAGTTATAATGAAATCAAACCAAAACTGTAGGAGGAGTAGCATTTTGAAAGAATTTCACAGAAATTTCTATTTTTAGTAACCACGGCAACACCGTTCATCAAAATCAAAAACCGATACACAGAATTATGTATCTTAGTGTAGTCTACTTGTGTGCCAAGTTATACTGAAATCAGACCATAACTGTAGGAGGAGTAGCGTTTTGAAAGAATTTCACAGAAATTTCTATTTTTAGTAACCACGGCAACACCGTTCATCAAAATCAAAAACCGATACACAGAATTATGTATTTTAGTGTAGTCTACTTGTGTGCCAAGTTATACTGAAATCAGACCATAACTGTAGGAGGAGTAGCGTTTTGAAAGAATTTCACAGAAATTTCTATTTTTAGTAACCACAGCAACACCATTCATCGAAATCAAAAACCGATACACAGAATTATGTATCTTAGTGTAGTCTACTTGTGTGCCAAGTTATATTGAAATTAGACCAAAACTGTAGGAGGAGTAGCATTTTGAAAAATTGTTTACAGACAGATGGACAGACGGACAGATAGACAGACGGACAGACGGACGGACGCCGGACGCATTACTATCGCATAAGCTCTTCTGGTCTCTGACCAGTAGAGCTAAAAATTGACAAGGACGCTCACAACGACGACAAATATTGGACAAATTTTGATCGAAAAACTCACTTGAGCCTTCGGCTTAGGTTAGCTAAAACTTATATAAACCTGTATAGTGGGGATGTCCTCTTCTTTTCCAAAGCTACACTTTAAAATACGTCATCTGGATCTGGAACCTGTCAAAAATGAGTAAATGACATAAATTATTCTTTATACTTTTCAACATAATATACAGAACATTAGAAGGTCATAATTTACCTAGAATTTTTAGTGTACGTGTTTCTTTCAAACTTTCCTACTTCTTCAAAATAGAGAAGATGTGAATGAGCTAATAAAATAAATTTGAGTGTTTAACATTGGTGCCCTTTTTTGTGATTCCATCCTATTTCTGTCCTCATAGGCCATAATTGAACAAATATTAATCATTATTAAGTTTCAACTTTAACAACAAACTATTTTATTTTTCTTAATTTCCTAAATATATGTATTTCTTATATCTAAAGATATGCAGTTCTAATTTTGAAAATTCTTTAAAATAAATATTATCCTTGTATATTCGAAGTTATTCAGAAACCTGTATATTTACAATTTCTTCATCATGTTCATTTTCTTCATCATTTAGACAGTTACACAGCACATCCTGGGAAATCTGTCAAAATAAGATCAGTACATTTAGTATCTATTTTTGTACAACAACCTTAGAACAGTAGGGAAAGGTTTATCTAAGTTGTAAGAACTTGTTACCAATCCCTTAGTATGAATTATACAATAAAATATGTTCAAAACAATTAAAATAATATTCTGTTAACTGATTTTTAAGACTCTAGCGTATTTCTTTATTTTCTTCAAATATAATTTAAAAGAAAAATGTAAACCTGATGTAAACCTGTACATGATTGTGATTATCTTCATAATTCTCTATAATGTTGACATCACATTCTGTGGTAGCTGTCAAAATTAAAAACAAATTTTAATAAAACAAAACAATTGTTTCTTCATGAAAACAATACAGAGTTACGGTTCTTAGTACAGTGACACACCATGTCAGAATGGGGCCTTAGACTTTACCTAAGGAAATGTCAACATTCTAACTGGAATGCTGTTTGTGGGATTCTTACCAGAGTCAATTCTATAGCATGGACTGAGACAGAAATATATGTAGAGACAGTGTGGACTGACACTTTAGGTGAAAATGAAATAAATACATGTTTTCAAACCCAGAAAGACCAGTGGGGATACAACGTAAACAAACCAAAGTTGCTTACCTTTCTCTCTTATAATGTATAGTGGGGTATTTTTTTGTAGAGCGATTATTTTGGGGTTTTGACGATTTATTCCTATTGCAAACATGTTGAATAAGTGGACTAAATATAAATTGTGAAAAAAATAACAAATAAGCCTCGGGGTTGAATATCGGAGGGGGGGAAGGTCTTGTCTGTCAGACATAATTCTCACTAGTCTCAGACTTACAGACAGGAGTTAATTGCCTGGTACAGGGCGGGGCCACAATTAGTATAACAACAGGAACATCAGAGTCAAAGATACTCAGGTGAGCGTTGTAGCCAATGGGACAGGGCGGGACCACAATTAGTATAACAACAGGAACATCAGAGTCAAAGATACTCAGGTGAGCCTTGTAGCCAATGGGACAGGGTGGGGCCACAATTAGTATAACAAGGTGAACAGCAGCATCAAAGATCCTCAGGTGAGCCTTGTAGCCAATGGGACAGGGTGGGGCCACAATTAGTATAACAAGGGGAACAGCAGGGTCAAAGATACTCAGGTGAGTGTTGTAGCCAATGGGACAGGGCGGGGCCACAGTAAGTATAACAAGGGGAACAGCAGGGTCAAAGATACTCAGGTGAGTGTTGTAGCCAATGAGACATGGCGGGGCCACAGTTAGTATAACAAGGGGAACAGCAGGGTCAAAGATACTCAGGTGAGTGTTGTAGCCAATGGGACAGGGCGGGGCCACAGTTAGTATAACAAGGGGAACAGCAGGGTCAAAGATACTCAGGTGAGTGTTGTAGCCAATGGGACAGGGCGGGGCCACAGTTAGTATAACAAGAGGGATTCAGGTGAAGGACAGCAGAGCCAAACTTACTCAGGTGAGCGTTGTAGCCCATGGGCCTCTTGATTAAGCACTTGTACCACATATTCCATTTTGGGACTGGTCCAAATCAATAATTTATAAATTTCAGAGACATTATACTGTTGTAGCCACCACTTTAAGGAGAATAAAATTTAATATCTTATAAGCAAATAAAGTTAAATTAATATAAAATCTTAAATCAACAAATTAATCGACACCCTACAGGCCCAGCACAATCTCTTGATTAAGCTATAATCTTGAATATATATATAAACCTTTATGTATGTGGTTTTTTAAAGGGCAGGTAAATTTGAAGCCAGAAAAAACGTTGAAAAAATTAATTGAATTCTCATCTTTATATGGATTATTTTTTTAGGTAAAAGTCTTAAACAATTTCAAAAATGTTTGTTTTGAATGATTTGGTAGTTATTATTACCGCAACACCTTTTGTATTCTTCAAATCATTTCGGAGCAGATCTCCTCCAATTTGCAACTGTAGTGATGGCTTGTCCCGAGATACAGCTAGATTATTCTTTCTACAGATCTATATATGGTCTTTGAGTTCAACAAGTTCTCAGTCTCTCAGGGAGATACAGCTAGATTATTCTTTCTACAGATCTATATATGGTCTTTGAGTTCAACAAGTTCTCAGTCTCTCAGGGAGATATAGCTAGATTATTCTTTCTACAGATCTATATATGGTCTTTGAGTTCAACAAGTTCTCAGTCTCTCAGGGAGATATAGCTAGATTATTCTTTCTACAGATCTATATATGGTCTTTGAGTTCAACATGTTCTCAGTCTCTCTGGGAGATATACATGATATAGCTAGATTATTCTTACTACAGATCTATATATAGTCTTTGAGTTCAACATGTTCTCTGTCTCTCGGGGAGATATAGCTAGATTATACTTTCTACAGATCTATATATGGTCTATGAGTTCAACATGTTCTCTGTCTCTCGGGGAGATATAGCTAGATTATTCTTTCTACAGATCTATATATAGTCTTTGAGTTCAACAAGTTCTCAGTCTCTCAGGGAGATATAGCTAGATTATACTTTCTACAGATCTATATATGGTCTTTGAGTTCAACATGTTCTCAGTCTCAGGGAGATAACATTGGGTGAGTTTATTTTTACTTGCATTGTAAATTAAGATGAGTTCAAAATAAAATATTTTCACTGCACCAAGCAGTGCCAAGGTGCAACTTTTTGTATATGCTGAAAAAATAACAAATTTGAGAAAAAAGTGTGATAAAATAGTAAGATCAAGCTATTCTAAATAGCTTAATAAAGCTATATATAGCTTTAATAGCTGCAGAACTGTAGCTCTCTGAAAAAATGTATTGAAAAACTGGAGAGCTACAGTGCCACCCAATTTACGCCGGAAATTCATATGGAAAGAACTGTCGCCAGATCCAAACATCGAGAAAGAGGTTAGTTATATGAGGCGTAACAAAAAAATATGTTTGTTTACGGTTACCCGACCGACCCTAATTTTCATCGCCGACCCAAACTTTTTTTTCGTCGTAAAAATCCGGAAGTTACTGGCCGGTCAGTTTAACTTTTACATTCATCTTTGAAATCGAAATTGAAAGTACAAAAACAAAACCAGCGAGTTGCAATTTCTACACCAACGAGTTCGTTGCAATTTGCTTACCATTGCGTGACAGTTGCTGGGGTGTGCAACTAGCATCGCCTGATGCCCGGTGCTACCGTTTTTGGGGTAGTAAAAATAAAAATTATGCATATAATACATGAGAAATACAAACGGTATTTTCACTCATTGTTTTGCTATTTAATTTCCAACTAATGAAAATTTTCAAGGTAACATGCCCCAATTGTTCTTAAATTACTTTAACCTTATCCATTTTGACGTACTACCTGACTTATTTACTTCAAAAAACGATCGTTTTTTCCTAATCCGAATTTCCTCCATTCCTCTGTTAATAGTAAATACATGCAGCTATCTCTTTCCATTATTTACGGTCCCCCAATCGACTAATAACTAAGTGTTATGTGGTTAAACTTTAATATATATCAATTGTATTTAATGGTTTGAAATGAAAATAAAATGATTTTGCTTCATTTTAGATAAGCTACACTGCTGGTACAATATGTTCAGAAAAGAAAAGATAATATAATTTCTTAAAATTTTTAAACTTCAACTTTAAAATGGATGGCTTAGGACCCTGACTTTCTCAACAATGAACTTTTTACAATATTTGTTTTTACAATATTTTGCCCCTATATTTGGACTGCTCACTTTTAACTTTGGGCTAGTACCTTTATTGCTGTTACTGTAAGCCTGTGGGCTAGTACTTGATTTTTTTTAATTGCACACCCCTAAGACAGTTGGCAAGAAACCACCCATATTTGAAGCCAAACGAAAGTATAAAGGCACCATACAATGGTAAAACTGTTTTGTAATTCAACCAATTCATGTGAATTTGTGTATAAAAAAATTCAATAAAATAAAAAAAAATTCCTACCTACCGACCCTATTTTATTTCAGCATGTAACAGTAAACAAAGGTATTTTTTTGTTTGGCCTGACTAACGGTACGCGTTGATTAGAATTTGACTGAAAAATATTAAAATTGAATCTATACTCCACTCACTCCTATTTGGTCCGCAACGAAAGTCGCCCAGAAACAAGATAGAAAGTCCGGTCAAAATTTGTGGTAGCGAATTTCCTATTTTTAGATTCCTCCCTTGTGTATTTTTATAGTAGGGGTAACTTTATTAAAAGAAGATAAATATTTCGTGACAAGCCCCTGTGTTCTATCTAGTGGCACTGTCGCTCTCCGGTCTATCAAATTATTTTGTTAGGAGAGCTACAGTTCTACAGCATAGCTAAATCAAGAGATTGAATCAGATCTTATGAGATCTGTCCCAAAATGGCCGAATAAACAAACCCACTTCCTTGTTCGTGCGAGTTTACCGATTACCGTGAACAAACCTTACTTTCATTATCAACTACAGCTGTTAATACATGTATTGTACTGTGTAGTTCCCACAAAAATGTCGTTTTTCAAAATCAAAAGGCCTAGCTGCTGGTTTCGTTGTCTTTTCCTCGATCTTGCCTTTCATGCAACAACTTTCAATGCAACGTCTGCGTGGTTTTGCACTAAGACTACTCGGATGTCTCTCGCACTTGCCGCCGAGTCAATCGGCAATCCTCGGTTAGCGTGCTAAGGAATCGGCAATCCTCGGCTAACTCCGCTACGCTCCATTCATTATTATGTGCGAGGTACGAGCCATCCGAGGAACTCCGAGTGCGTGCAAAGTTCAAGCAAAAATAGGAAGTCATTTAAAAGTCGGGATCGTTATTCACAAAATTGCGTAACTGTCATTCAGCAAAATGTAACAAAATGTTTCGTCACTTACTGAGTTACTCACTCACTGTTATGATTGTGTTGATTGCGGATATTGCGGAAATAACTTGAAATGTAAAGGTATTGTGAAGCTTTTATATAGAGTACACCGACCAGGTCCCAAGACAGATCAAGTTAAAAAAATATTATATCTCTCATTTCCTACATCAAAATTATTATTATGGTTATATATCAAATTGCATGATCAAGTCTCTGACCATGCAATGCATAATAAAATGGTGACTGTGTACATATGTGTTACTGTGTATATTTTTATATATACATTAACATGGTGCTCTAAAACATGGCAAATATTAGAGCTTTGCAATAAAGCTATGACACCAAACCAGAACTGTGCGTAATGTGTGTACAGCAGTACAAGGTGTGATATGAATGTGGGTTAGTCATATTATGCTTTACTCATGCTACTGTAACATTGCCTGAATTGTGTACTTAGTCCTTTATCAGTCTAGACAAACTCCAAAAACGAAGTTAACGGAAGTAAGAAATTGAGACTGAAAAAGACTCCGAAAAAAGAGTCAGCGCATGCGCAGATACACAAAAAATCTCGATTTTTTATGGGTCTACAAAAATTGTCCATGCAAAGTTTAAGAAAGTATGACAATTATATCAATACACTGAAATGGTACATTAAAGACGTCTGAAGGGATCATATATTTGCTAGATTTTTTATTTTTGCAAAAAGAGAGATATTTACTTTCAAATTTCACCTTTCAAGTGTGATCAATTACAGAGAAAATTAAATGTTTGGGAATTAAATATGTGTGATAAAAGGGAAAAATATGTAAATTTTGAAATAAAAAATATATATGATATATGTTGTAACTGTTAAAAATTGATCACATTTTATCACCATCATTATTTACTTAATAGTTATCACATATGAACATCATGGTGAACAGATATCATCATGAAAACATTTTTAATCTGTTTGCTAGCTCGTGCGTTTGAACAGCCAACTTGTGCCAATATTCACCAATATAAGTTCAATAGATTTAACCCTTTATTATATAAATTAACGAGGTCGCCAAGGCTAGGAGATAAAAATCACACAACTTGTTGGATAAAAATCAAATCCAACCAACTGCAAACCCCATGTAAGATCATATATATATGAGCCTCGACGGATAGAAATCGACCTTATGGCAAAATTTATCGAATTTGATATTTTCGTGTTTTTTAATAGTCCACGTAAAACCATTACAAAAACTGAAAACGAAATCAAAATATCTTCTTTTATAACAAAGTTATTACATTTTGAAATTGGTATGTTTGCAAAATTAATTTTGAGCATATAGTGTTTTTTCCACAATTGTGACGTCATGGTTTATTCTCAGCTGTTCGGTAAGGCACCTGTCAACGCGTAGCAATCCAACTGGTCATCTTGTCTAAGTTAATTAAGAATTGCTTAATATATGACAAAAACAGATGATCATGATGTACAATCCCTAAATCTGTGTGAACTGTATTTTAAATCCTTTAAAAAACGAATAACACCCCCCCCCCCCAAAAAAAATTAAATTTCTACTTTTCTATCTTTCGTACCGGTAGCTTCGTCTATATGAACAACTGAACTTCCAATAAACAAAATTTAGATCTACACTATGCTGCTTTTATGTTTGATGAAGCATGTATTCTCAAAACATGCAATTTAGTTAACACACACTGTTTGATTTTACGTAATCACCATGTAAAGGAAAAAAGGGAACAAATGAAATCGAGTCAAAATTTACAGGGATTCGAATTCGATCTCAGAAATACCAAAGGCTAGTTTCTGACAGAAAATACATGAACCATGCAGCCAATAAAATCATAACTTAAATCATGCTTCTATAATTATTCTTATGTAATAAATAATAAAAATCACATCGATCAGTACATATATAGTGAAATCAAACATGGTGTGATACTAGCCTTGTGTCTAAAAGTAAGCTCATTTAATTAGGATTTTCCCTCCTAAAACCTTTCTACTGCAGCCACATTCACCTTCAAATAGCTAGTTCATATATATACACCCTCTTTTCCTCCACATCATTCTCGCTTGGTTGTAATTGGACGTATATATCGAAAAAAAAATAACCACTATGTCTTTAAACTATTACCCCCCCCCCCCCCTCCTAGTAAAAAACAAATTGTCTTTTCATCAAATGTCTATTATCCATAATGTAGAAAAATAAATAAGTAAATAGAATATCATGTTAAACAATTTACATGTACGAATTATTGATTGATTGAATTTTGCTAAGCGCCGAGTCGGCAAGATTTCAGCCATTATCGGCGGGAATTTTTTATCTGTTGCATGCAAAATACATGTAGTTGATAATCTTAACATATTTTAAAAGGAACTATTTAACGTTTCATCCGACGGATTATAATTTCAAGAATATGTAATCCGTTAAAAAAGATTTCTCTCTGTATTCATCAACAAAATATCTCATAATGTACAAAATTTTACTTTAAAATTCAATTTGATGTAAATAATCTTAAGTTCTTTTAAATCTAATATTGTTAGATAAAATAATAATCATGCATCGCTCGTACATTATTAATTAACTTCGTATGTGAGAAACCCCACCTTATTTTAGAAGAATAAGATTTAAATTTACATGTAGCGGAAAGTCACGGGAAACAAAATTGTATATATACACATGCATTGGCTGAAATTCTCGGCTCAATAAATATGCATGCATTATTTGTGGACAATTTGCGGAAGATTTATTTTTTTTTTTTTTGTTTCTTTTATCATAAAGTTAATCATCATCGGATACCCAAGGATGATCTCATCTTTACTCATCACCGGGTGATAAGTAAAGACGAGATCACTCTAGGGTTTCCGACGATGATTGATTGTATATTGTTTAACGTCCTTCTCGAGATTTTTTCACTAATATGGAGACGCCACCACTTGCCGGTGGAGAGCTGCAAATTTTGTCCTATACTCGGCACTTAGGGCCATTGAGCAGGGAGGGATCTTTTTCGTGCTAGCACCTACTGCGACACGGGACCTCGGTTTATACGGTCTCATCCGAATGACCGGTCTCCACGTCCCACAGTGGGATTCGAACACGCGATGTAAGGACATCGTCTCAAGCCACGGTCTGGAGTCCGCATATAGCTCTCTCCTACCAGATGGGAGAGGATCGTACATTTTGGCCATGGTTTGCGACGATGATGTAAGGATTGACTCCTTACTTCGCGACTCTAGAGTAGACGCTCTAACCACTGCACCACGCGGGCGACTTCCGACGATGATAGTATAGTTTATTTGTAACGCAACATTCTAATGCATTTGAAAATGAGAATTTACATAACGTATACAAAATACTTTTATCAACAGAAAAAATGAAGGGATATCAATATGAATTTCAGAAATGCAAAAAATATAAATTCTTTGTTACCTGGAGTATTAGAAATGCATTGAGGGAAAGAAAAAGAAAAACAAAGGCTTGTTTAATTACAATATAAAAACACGTGGAACATTTTCTTTCTTTTACTGCAAACGAACTACATGTAAACAGCATTGATTACGTTTAGACTGTACTGAGAATGTCTTGATAATTATTTTATTAGGAAATGCAGTTAAACCAATTAAAAAATGAATAAATAATGCTATAAATTAGATAGTCGGATTCAGCTTGGGTGCTTAGGATTCTAAAATAAATAAAAATAAATTATATTTAGCCAGCAAAGTAGCTTGATTTAAATACATATATCGTCGCTGTAATATCAAATTGTCGTAAGTCAAAAATCCCAACTTTTCCCCCAGAGAAAAAAATAATTTTTCTAAAATGTCGTATGTCAACACATTTAAAATTCTGTCCTGGATGTTTTTATTTACAAATTGTCAAATCTCCAGAAAAGCATTGAAACAAACCCCTGCAATGTATTGTAAGCGTACGAATCTGATATTAAAAGCTCTGAAATGTTTTATATGAATTAACATACTCATAAATTGATTGCAGTTATAAACTTGAAAAGAATTCAGTTTGTCATGAAGTAACTTACTTCTAACTTTTCATCAATCTTTCCATTGATTTCTCTGTTTATTAAATAAATATACTTTGTTTTGTATGTTGAACACATTTTTTAGTAAAAATTTTAAAAGATTTAACTAAAATTATAATTTTTACCTTGATATCATTATGGCCAGTGACATCCTTGTCAGTGCCCAGAACATCTCCTTTTGTCACAAAAAAAAATGCATCCAATGGATACGCGCTTTTATCACACGTCTGTATCTCACTTTCTAATTGGCCTAGAGACATGACGTTTTGACAGAACATGTATTCGATATTGCAGATTCCAAATTAGCAATAAAAAATTCGCGCCAAAAATCGACTTACGACATTTTGATATTACAGCGACGATATGCTGACTAAAGAAGCCCCCCCCCCCCCAAAAAAAAAAAATCCTGTTTCTAACACATTCCAACACAACACATATAAAATTATAGACATTTCATAATTATTTGTTTAATGATTTTTTGAATTTAAAAAAATCAAATAAAAAAGGAGATTTATAATAAAGTTGTCTGTTGTGGGTATATCCATTCTCTCTTTAAAAGAAGAATTTTATAATGTATAGATCTTTTTGGTGTTATAATTGAAAGTCTTATTACAAAACGAAACCATATTCTTGATATTCATGAACAAGGGAAATCCTGCTCAAGATGATTTTTGAAAAGTTTGGTATTAACGAGGTTCAAAATACTTAACATTATGCTGAATATATAAGAACATCTCTCACAAAACTATGTACATCCGACTTTAGGGTATTTTTTTTTTTGGTTTACAACTCTTTATAATATTATTGACATAGAAGGATATGTTTTACAAACTGGGCCAATCTTTTTACATTTTCGCCAGCCAAGTTAAAGAAATTTAAAAATCAAAGATAATCCATCGTCGGTATTTTTTTTTAAACTTTCAAAATATTTAAGAAAAGGTAACGGAGAGAAAAACATATTTTTTAAGGAAATGATTCCCCGTGTTGAGCCTCTTTTTGTGTCAAAGGGAAGCTACTGGCACATTCCAGTCGCTTCAGAATTACGTTTTTCTGTTTGAGAATTACTGATATAAAAAGAAATTGCCTTACACATTACCAGTATTACTTGTTTCTTGATATCTCTTAATATTATAGTTAGTAAAATGCGTTTTAAAAGTTGTTCAATCGTGGCCTATGTACATTTTGTATTGATCGATATGCCTTTCATTAGCCTATTGTTTTTGGTTGGTTGGTAAATTCCTGTGATAAATTTGAAATTACACGTAAATTCATTCAAAAACATGAAACATTATAGTATATCTAATATGAAATTGCGAATTTAATCGTGAATGATTGAATACACGTCCACACGATAAATTCACACACTCGGCTATTTACTGCATCAGTACAAGTGCGATTTTTTGTGCCAGATTACGTCTCCTCTGGCTAAAATTTATACTCTAAACTACAAAAAAATATATTCTGTACTTCCTAAGTAATGCAACATGCCATTTTTTCTTTGCTATATGTCTACCATTTTATTCTTTATCTGGTGTATTGTAAGATATGGCCTTACGTCTTCTGCTGTTTGAAAAAAAAAAATAAGTGTAGATCGGACTCGGCATTCCTCTGGCCTGTGTTTACATTGAACCATGGTAACAATAAAAAATACGGCTCTACGAGGGGGAATACATTTAAAATTTGTTTATTTTATTAGTACATGTTTAAAATGATCCGATTTTTTAAAGAAAAAATCTTTGAACTGCAGATGATTATGTCTAAAACATTCTTTAACGTGAAAACCATGTGTTGCAAAAATACCGGGAAATCTTTCTCAACTTTATTCGCTTTTTTCTCATTATGACGTTGCATACGATAAGGTCGATTTCTATCCGTCGAGGCTCATATATTATATACACATTTAATATATTTGTCAGAGATAAAAAGAAATTCATGAATGAAGAGGCAAGAGAAATGGAAAGGACAAGTAAGGAAGAGGGGGATTTCAGGCCCAGAAAAGTTGAGTGGTCAGAAGTCAGGTCTAGTGAGGTTGAGGGGTCAGAGGTCAGGCCTGGTGAAGTTGAGGGGTCAGAGGTCAGGCCCGGTGAAGTTGAGGGGTCAGAGGCCCTGCCAATAAAACCCAGCAGTGCTAGCAGTACGAGTATAGCCTCTAGTTACTTCAACAACAAAATCCCCATACCCGAGGATGAAGAGGTAAGGCTCACTCAATCACTTCAACAACAAAATCCCCATACCAGAGGATGTAGAGGTAAGGCTCACTTAATCACTTCAACAACAAAATCCCCATACCAGAGGATGTAGAGGTAAGACTCACTCAATCACTTCAACAACAAAATCCCCATACCGGAGGATGAAGAGGTAAGGCTCACTCAATCACTTCAACAACAAAATCCCTATACCAAAGGATGAAGAGGTAAGGCTCACTCAATCACTTCAACAACAAAATCCCCATACCAGAGGATGTAGAGGTAAGGCTCACTCAATCACTTCAACAACAAAATCCCCATACCAGAGGATGTAGAGGTAAGACTCACTCAATCACTTCAACAACAAAATCCCCATACCTGAGGATGAAGAGGTAAGGCTCACTCAATCACTTCAACAACAAAATTCCCATACCAGAGGATGTAGAGGTAAGGCTCACTCAATCACTTCAACAACAAAATCCCCATACCGGAGGATGTAGAGGTAAGGCTCACTCAATCACTTCAACAACAAAATCCCCATACCAGAGGATGTAGAGGTAAGACTCACTCAATCACTTCAACAACAAAATCCCCATACCGGAGGATGTAGAGGTAAGGCTCACTCAATCACTTCAACTACAAAATTCCCATACCAGAGGATGTAGAGGTAAGGCTCACTCAATCACTTCAACAACAAAATCCCCATACCGGAGGATGAAGAGGTAAGGCTCACTCAATCACTTCAACAACAAAATCCCCATACCAAAGGATGAAGAGGTAAGACTCACTCAATCACTTCAACAACAAAATCCCCATACCGGAGGATGTAGAGGTAAGACTCATTCAATCACTTCAACAACAAAATCCCCATACCCGAGGATGAAGAGGTAAGGCTCACTCAATCAGTATACAGAATGTAATCCAGAAACAAAATGTAAACAATATTATCCTATTTGACTTGTTTTGCTGCTTTTTTTTTCTCATTAAACACAACTTTTTACTTTTGGAAATATTCATCCTTCCTCCCCCCATCTTCCACCCCTACTCCCCCACCAAAATAATATTTTTCCACCTTTTCTTTAACTTTAATGAGGAAAATGTTCTTTCAAATAAAAGATTAAGAGATGAAATATGCATTGCTCAGATTGGATTATCAACTCTGAAATATTTAATGCTGTTCATATTTTCTCTGATTTTCAGCATCCAGTGTTCAGCTTTAGAAAACTCTGGGCCTTCACTGGTCCAGGGTTCCTTATGAGTATTGCCTATCTGGATCCGGGAAATATCGAGTCAGATCTCCGTTCCGGATCTGTCGCTCAGTTCAAGGTCAGTATCTCATTAGTATTAACGAGCTTTAGAGTAATTAGAGAATCAATTAGATTAAAAAATATGACAATTTATTTTTGAAATATATGACATTTTAAGATTTGCTTATAACCAATGATATTAACATTTGCTGTTTCTTTTTACTCATCCAAATATGAAATTGATTTGAAAGCATTTTAGTTAGTGTAAACTTGCATTGAGAAACTTGGGCTAAAGCGACTTGACAATGAAGCTACAGGGAAGTTAATAAAATATTATAATAAAGCTAAGGGTGAATTTAAAAAAAAAACTTATATTTGCTATGGATACTCATACAGACTGTACCAATGTTAACATATCTGTTTTAGTTGCTATGGAGACATTGGCTTATTTTGTAATAGTTACCATGGATACTGATTGCAGCTTATTTTGTTATAGTTGCTTTGGATACTAATGCTAGCATATATCATAACAGTTGCTATGGATACTGATGTCTATGTAATATGTTATAGTTGCTTTGAATACTGACATCTGTGTATTTATGTTATAGTTGCTATGGATACTGACCTCTGTGTATTTATGTTATAGTTGCTATGGATACTGATGTCTGTTTATCTTTTTATAGTTGCTATGGATACTGACATCTGTTTATTCATGTTACAGTTGCTATGGATACTGATGTCTGTTTATTTATGTTATAGTTGCTATGGATACTGACCTCTATGTATTTATGTTATAGTTGATATGGATACTAACCTCTGTGTATTTATGTTATAGTTGCTATGGATTCTGATGTCTGTTTATTTATGTTATAGTTGCTATGGATACTGATGTCTGTTTATTTATGTTATAGTTGCTATGGATACTGACCTCTATGTATTAATGTTATAGTTGCTATGGATACTGACGTCTGTTTGTATATGTTACAGTTGCTATGGATACTGATGTCGGCCACGTTTCTGGGTCTTCTGATGCAGAGGCTGTCGGCGCGCCTGGGGGTGGTGACAGGAATGCACCTGGCTGAGGTCTGCTACAGAAGCTATCCCAGGGTTCCACGCTTTGTGCTGTGGTTCATGGTGGAAATAGCTATCATTGGTGAGGTCCTGTTTTTGAGACAGGGGGAAGCATGGGATTTCAACCAATCAAAATTCAAAATTATTGATAGAGGTACAATTTTGTTTGGTACTGTTCAAAAACATATTAATCTTAGATTATTAGGATACATGTTCTTAAGATATTACAGACCCTAAACCGTGCTACTACACCTGAAAACGAACCGTACCGTTCCGTGCAGAAAGCGTACCGTACCGTGAACAAAACGTACCGTTCCGTGCACAAAGCGAACCGTTCCGTGTAGAAAGCGTACCGTACCGTGAACAAAGCGTACTGTTCCGTGCACAAAGCGTACCGTACCGTTCTCAAAGCGAACCGTTCCGTTCTCAAAGCGTACCGTACCGTCCACAAAGCGTACCGTTCCGTGCAAGAAACAAACCGTACCGTTCTTTGGTTAATTATGCAAACCATTTTTGAATCATGTTATGACCAAATAAGTCATTCTGGTTTATTTCTCGCTACGGCGCCTGTGAAAGGAGGACGGAGGTTTTGTCTGCCTGTTCGAAACACCATTATCAAGTATCATGCATATGCGTCTGGGCCTTCAACTGTGAAAATAAGGAAACTACTCGAAGCAAAATACAACTTTATAACAACTAGACAGAGTGTGAGACGATTTTCTTATTTGCTATAAATTAGATCAACTGGTTGTGTTTGTGGTCAAACGTACAGTACAGGCCAGGAGTTTTTCCCGCAAAACATGTACGGGGCAGTGTGGACCTCGAACGATGTCGGCGTCTTTGAAGTCTTTAATTTTCTTTATATTAGCAAATTAAATCAATTTTCTTTTGAAATATTACTAGTTTATTTCAACAATTGTAATTTAATTATACAGATATTTAAAATAAAATTATAAGGTGCCCCGAAATTCAATATAATCGTGCTCGTGCCCAAGGAAAAAACCCTCTTTTAATGTGTACATGTACATACATGTTTCATAATCCTATAATTATATTTGACATAAAAATAGGTTCAATAGACTATAATACCACTAAGAAAGAACACGCTTTCATTAATTTATTCCCTGGTTGTCTCTACTTTTGATTTTAATTTTGCTCATTTAAATTATTAAATCTTATCGGATAAAAGATCGTTTTTGTCGTAAGTATTTAATACATATCAGATGCGTGATTTTACTAATGAATTATTTTGTAAGAATTATAAAACATATATTAACTGTCTAGAGTAAAAATTCTGTCTAGAGTAAAAATTTAAAAAAGAACCGTATTAGACTCTCACATTAATTCTGTTAAGATTTTTACTATTGGCGAATCATTGGTGCAGTTATACTTACACTGAAAATCTGTAATCATGTAAAATATGGATTAAAATATTACATGCGGTAAACATGTATATTTCTACTGAACTGACAGAGATGACAATCTTTCTAATAAAACTGTGATAAACTTTCACGCTGCATATACAAAAATCGCCAGCTGAATTTCTTGCAAATAGAATGTGCAAACTGCAGTATGAATATTACTTCATTCTGAAATACATCTCATGAAAAATGAAAAAAAAAGTTTGCGAAAAAAATAAAGATATTATAAGGTTTGTTACACTGTATCCCGATCCCCTTGTAGAAAGCAATACGAATTAACGAATTACATGTAGCTGGTCGAAAGTTCTTTAGAAGTCTGGAAAATCGTACGTTGTTGTAAATAAGAAAGAATAATCTACAGGAAACATCCTTATTAGTGTCTGAAAAAAGATAATTTACTAAATAAAATGAAATAAAAAAAAAATTAATCCTCTTTCAAGCCATTGGAGTAATGTTTGTTACCCCCCCCCCCCCTCTAGAAGGCGATACTTATGCAAATATGAGACTTGAAATTGTGCTTAAAAAAAGAAAATTTAGGGATACATGCTTCTTTTTTGTCTGAAAAAGGATAATTTAGGAAGTAAATTTATAATCAGTGTTGTGGTGAAACCTGGAAGATGAATTTGCTGGATGTCAGTTGAGAGTTCGGACATAGAGTAGTTCTGAGTATGGTGACAACGAAAATTAACTTCTTTTACATCTGCGTTGAAAAATTATCCCTGTCTGATTTCTCAATCAAGATTCGTGGTTTTCTTTTTTTTTCTTCTCTATTGAAATTGAAATAAAATATGCTCTTATGTACATAAAATTCCCCGATCAAAATATATAATAAACAGAATGTAACTTCTAACGTCTTATTAGTCTTTTTGTGTATAGGAAAAGAATTTAAATATCAAAATGTATATGTTGATACGACTAACCAATTAATCGGTCGGAACGTTTTACGGTTAACCGATTAGCAATTCTGCAATCGATTGCCATCCCTAGTAAATTTCAAAATTTATAAGTGACTTATAAGTTGCTTATAAGTGGATTATAAAACACTTATAAGTTTTTATTAGTTTTTTCTGTAAGGGTAGAAATATATGGGAAAATTCTTTAAAAATCTTATTCTCAAGAATGACAAAGCCATAATTCATCATATTTATATGGAAGCATGCTCAAGTAGTGTAGATTCATATTTGTTCAAATCATGACCCCCGGGGGTAGTGCTGGGCCAAAATGGCCGACCAAAGTTTTACATAGGAATATATAGGAAAATTCTTTAACCCATTTCCTACTGCAGCCAAGTCTGCAGAGCTTATCAGTAAGACGAGGGATAACACGCCTGCTGCTGTGATGGCTAAGTTAATTAGCACCATCTTTACTTTCTGCCTGATAACAAGATAATTAATCTCTGTAGGTATATAAAAGTATACATATTTATAAAGCTCTTAAAATTCTGCATCCAGCAGTATAAATTTCAATATGCAGCAAGAATGCTATCCCATGTTTTATCTGATGTAAATAATAATAAATTCTTAAAAGCACTTGAAAATTTTTGTCATCTTTTTATTCAACTGGATTTTATGTGCATAAAGTGAATGTAAGCAGTATGTTTTTTTTTGCATCAGTAGTTACATCAAACATTTCTGAACAATTTACAGTTTATTTCATTAAAAAATCTATAAAAATAAAAAAGTTATTGATATTTCAATACATAGGGTATTATCTCAGAATTTTCGACATTTGAATCAAGAATGGAATTTCTTTAAAAATTATTTTAAAAATATACAACATGCATTTTGCTACATTTTAAACAAAGTTTTAAGTAAAATAATGTATTACAAACATTATATCAAAACAAAAATGAAAAAAAAATTTACTTACTTCAAAATAATATGTAATAAAATATTGCAAAAAGAAATCCTCAATTTTAATTCTCAACTCAAAAAAAGAAGTCACACTTACTAATGTTTACACTTTCATCATTCGCATGATGTGCTTAGAGCTGCACTCTAAGTGTACTGGGACATCACATTGTTGGCATCCAAATTTCGTAACACCTTTCCTTTGTCCTTGTGGTCCTGACAGGGAACATTCCCGGCACACTTTGTTTTTGGGGAACATTTTCACAATGTTATGCTCGGTAGCGCGTCCTCCACAGTCAAGTTTTTGTGGTTCTCTTCTAGATCTCACATCACCTATTAGATCTTCCACTAGGTCTTCTATATAGTCTTGAAAACTTGGCCATCTTTCACGAGCAATTTCTGGGTGGGTGTCCTTCGCTACTATGTAGGAATTGTGAGCCGATGCCATCATCAGATAGAAAAACAGCCTCCGCCACCACTTCTTTGATCTGTGACTCAAGAGATAGTACCCTATCATCTGATCACATAAATCCACCCCCTTCATGTGTTTCTGGTAGTCCGAGAGAAGTTTTGGAACCTGCACCACGGTGTTCTCGGCAGCACGTCGTGTCACTTGTCCTCGATGGCTAGGGTCGTGAAAGTTTGACAAGACACTTACGGGTTTCGTGTCCAACCAAATGCAGTACATCAGGTTGTCTTTTTGAGCTACTTTGAACTCATGCTTCCTCAAGTTGACTTTAGATGGGATTAGATCCTTTGGAAGTCCCTTACGGTTTGCACGCACAGTCCCACATCCCATGATCCCTCGGAGGTAAAGGTCATTCAGTAGGTCGGTGCCGGTGTAGAAATTATCCATATATACATTCAAGTTTGATCCGAAGTAATTTCTGCACAAGTCCATCACCACTCTGTATGACAGTCCCTTTTCCTGATTTCCCTCCTTACCCGTATACACCTGGAACTTGCTCAAATAACCAGTGTCGCTTTCCGCCATTGCCCAAACTTTCAGTCCCCATTTTATAGGTTTAGCAGGTAGGTACTGGCGAAAGGATAATCTTCCTTTGAACTTTATCATTGATTCATCAATGGTTACATTTCCATGTGGAATGTAAATTTCACCAAATTTCCTGTCCAAGAATTCCAAGAACCATCGAACTTTCCAAAGTTTGTCTGGAATCTGTGGTTGTTCATCATTGTTTTGGATATGTAAATACCTCCATATTTGATGGAATCTATCCCTTGTTATGGGTCAGAATAACCCTAAATGCCAGCAAAGATCAATCACACAGTTTAAACTTAACAATAATTTATTTACAGTAATATACAAATCATTAAGTACAAACTTAGCAAAAATCTAAAAATACATACATCAGAGTGTCCGTTGCTGCACACAATGTCCCAGTGAAATTATATCCCAGTAATACCTCAATGATGCTTATACGACAATGTATCCACAATTATTTATGCATCGAATTGACAGGGTATTTATACAGTATCATAAATCTAGAATATTCTAGAAATTGTAAATACATGATATTCCTGAAAAGTTCTGGACATGAATAAAGTTCAAGAATGTTCTAGAAAAAATGACTAAACATATTGACCACTCTGGAATGTTCAAGAAACTTAATGTTACTAATAATATACATGATGAAATAATACAAATACAACACACCTCACAACACCTCCCCCCTTAAAAAGTTTGAATGTCAATGAAAACTTACATTGTAAAACATGTACATTAATACAAAATCTAATTTGTTCATGATACTCTGGACAAGGCATCTGCAATAACATTGTCTTTGCCTTTG